GCTTGCAGTGTAACTAGAATTCCCTGTACCTTTGCTAGTTTATAGTTGGTAAATAGCTTGCAGAAACTCATTCCCCTTGGTCTAATTCCATTGCTTCTCTACCTAATAAAAATGTTTGCAGAAACAGCAGGGATTGTAATATCTGCTTTCCTAGTTGTTCTTCACTTGATACTATCTCTTATAGTTTCTGTACTTTGAATTACAGTAGAACTGCTTGTTTTTCTGTAGTAAAGATCTCTTATTGCTGCTTTAATAGGATAATCATATTTTCCAAGGTTTATAATTTGATTCTCAGTCTTTCTTCATTTTGGAATCTTGGCCCCATTGTTTTTAGTTGGTAAATGAATAGGCTTCTTTTCATTTAAACATTCATTTATATTAGAGCCGTCTCATTGTGTGCTATTAGTACTATACCTTCTTTATAGATGTATGGTGGACTGTAAAGCTCTGGGTACAGAATATACTTCAACAGCTGATTTCATGGCTAGTCTGAAGAGGTGGAGGAGGCTCAAAGCTGTCCTGTGGTACACTCCCATCCAGAGGCACTCTTCTGGCCTTTCAGTTTTGGGCACAGCGTGACTTCTTCCAAGCTCTGTTGCTTAACGATTTGCAGAGAAAGGAGATGAAAAATCTAACTGAGCTAATGTTACTCAGGTTAAATATGTCTGCAGTAGTAGAAATCACTTTTGTACGCCTGGATATCTTTCACTAAGTGAACTCCAGACCTATCCATAGAGGTAACTTTTCTGATATATTACTGGATTTGAATATATGTACTATTTTCAATGCTGTGTCCTCTCCAATCTTAAGAACTTCATAGGAATGGATTTGATTTCTTCTTAACAGACTATTTTCTTGTGACCATGTCTCATGGTGAATTTCTGCCTGAAGGCTTGTCTTGTTCCCTTTTGGTAAAGAAGATTTCTAGCCTGTGACTCCCATTCTACACAGCAAAAGTAATTGTTCATTTCACAGAGGCCTAGCTAGTATTTGCTGCTGTGTATTTTATTGAGGATATTCATTTTTCTTACTTCTTACTCATAACATTTTTGTACAATTAGTATATTATTTGTAGTTTCTCAGATAAAATTTTAGGCTGTTCTTTTATATTACTTTGAAAGCAATGACCTAGAATTCCTGACTGGCCTACCATTTTTTCATATCTACCATGTTCTCTCTTTGTTAGCACATCAAAAGCAAACAGTCCTTTTAAAATAACTTTTCTGACATATGGCAAACTAGTATTTGAGGACTACAGAGCCTCTTGAAATGCAGTTTGATCTATAGGGAAATGCTTGACAGTACTTACGTTCTTTGGGATATATTATTATTTTAATATTGTATTTGACTGCCTTCATCATTGGATACCACAAGCGATCATATTGAACTACACTCCCATAAATCAAGGAAAACAAGTTAAATTAATTTGCCTCCTGTACTATAGAACATGAGTTGAGGATGAGATGAGACCTATTCTAAACTTAAGAAAGTAAGTAATATCCTATTGATTAGACCTTGAGCTACGTTTAAGAGTGTTCTATCTCCAAAAACAGCATGAGAAAATTTAAGAAAAACATGAGAGACTGGCCACTATGTGTATTCCATTGCCCTAGTACTCTGCCAATATCCAATTTAAGAAAGAAAGAATAGGAAAAGCAACAACAGCAAAAACAACAAAAACCAAGCATAGAACAACTTCAAACCTTTCACTTTGGGGATTACTGCAAATTTATAATTATATATCACCAAAATTACAAACAACATAATCCCACTGTTCTTACAGCTTTACTTAAGAGCATGTATTTTATGTGAAACTACAAAAATTAAAGTAAGGAAATCACTGAAAGCAAAAGAAAATGCTTTTGAATTCTTTGCATTTTTCTATATATTATCTGATACTACTCAGTGTTTCACAAAGGTCCTTTGTGACATTCCATCTAATCAGGAGTATCATTGACCAGTAATTTATGTTCAGATTCAGTGGCAGAGTCGTAAGGGTCTGAATTTATGCTTTCTCAGAATGTAGAAAAAACAATTGGGGTGGTAAGTCTTTGTAAACATATTCTCTTCTCTCCCAGCATACATTAGCTTCTTCAGAAAAGTTACAGTTTTTTTTCTGTTTTTTATTGATATCACCTAGTGGCCTTATCCTGCATGAGCTTTGCTGTTGTATATGATTTTGGCTTCACTGTCTACCTGCTGCTTTCAGTGGAGCACCCACATCAGCTTTTCAGTGTAAAATTTCAGAACATTCCAATGTTGCATAGGCTTATTTTAATTAGTTCCCTTTTAGACCATCTCTGTACAAAGAGTCAGTGAGGAACTCAAGAAATTATGGGCCAGAAAACTTGCTTCATGAAAGATAGGTGGTGTAGATAGATGGGAGCCCCAGCTTTACTGGACATCAAGCAAATGGATGTGCTATGATTTAAGATCCTTATTTTAAGCATGGTACGTATTGAAACTGACAGTTAAACAGAATGTCTGTCTTTCCAGACATTTCCTGCAGATTTCCTTGTCTGCTGGCAGGAGAGAGTAAGATACCCAATATTGACTCATTTTGTGAATTTCAAATAGGTGGTGATTCTGTAGGCAGGCAATTCAAATACCAGTACAAAACCTTCTACCGTTTCCATGATAGTATCTGTAAACTCAATTGAGTTAACATATTTATACCAGAAAAATGTTTCATAGCATCTGTTACCCCATTGTCTTCATAAGAAATATTAGTTGGCTAACATTAGACTTATCTTAGATGAGCCTATATTTCAAATTCTTTATCTGATGCATTTCAAAGGATGCCTCATAAATTATCTGATGACTTTTTTTTGATCATATCACAGTTAGGTGAAATCTGTGTTTCATAAACAAAGGATGTATGGAGAATCAAAAGGATGATCACTTAAAGAACACAAATCTGTTCCCAGACTTCTAGCCAGAAGAAGAACAATTATATCTTATCACATATAGGAAATGAAGACGAAGGATTTGACCTGTGGAGAACAGACAGGAAGGACAACCACATCATATCCCCGTTTTGAATTCAAATATTTGCTTTTCTAGCATTAGATTTTTTTTTTTTAAGAAATTGGTGGTTTTCTCAAGAATTTTGGTCTGTGGAGAGAGAGCACAAGTACTGAATTCAGTATCTTGTTTAAGCTGAGATGTGATTGGTATTTGAGGCACATTCACAGTCCTGGCAGATACAACATGGTATCTACAGCAGGCATGTGTCTTTGAGGTGGTAGCTATCAGGATTTTCCTCAAATGAAATAGCACTAGGTATTCAAATAGGAGTTCTGGTGATGACTGTTTGCAGGTCCTGGGGAGCAGCTCACCTGATGGTCAACAACAATGGCTCTGCTTAATAGCAGACTTGGTTATCTAGAAGTAGTGTTAACATCACAGCAGGTGGTGGGGTGAGGTCCTAGGAGAGTAGTTCATCAGTCACAGCTGTAATGAAAGATCAGGCAACTAAATCACAGAGAAACACCAACTTTATGGGTCCTTAATTTAGGTGGTTTAGTCTTATTAACAGCATGGGTTTTGAAACCTTTGCCTAAGCCTTTGCTCCCTGCACCTCGGCATTTTCTGATAGAAATATTGCAGAATTTCAGTTCTGCAAGCTTTCTTCAGTTTTTTCTTTTTCTCTCTGGAATCATGACTGAAAAATTTCAGCTGAAAATCCAATGACTACATCTGGGTGAGCCATATTGAATCCACTTTGTGCGTATCCTGTCTGACCTTCCCTGCCAACCTTGGGGAAGTGGGGAACAATGAGACAGGACTGAACATGCCAGAGAGTCTTCAGGAGGCCCAACTGAAAAGTAAAGGGTAAAAGAGAAGGATAAAGAGAAGCAGTCTATACTGGTTTTTGTGCAAATTCCTGGAAACAAGATACCTGGAACACACTGAAACATGTCTTTCCTAACTATTCCTGGGTTTTCAATAGAAAACTCCTTTTGTGAGGAAAAAAGTGCCTTTATATGCATGAACACTTACCTGAATCTTTGTCTGGCTGCTCGCTTGTAAGAGCATGTGATATTTCTTATGGCAAACTGATGCTGAGCAGTAATGGCAACTGTTTTCTGTAACTAGAAAAGAATATAATGACAAGAAAATGAGAGACGAGAAGTTATCCCAGTGGTCATACAGCTGTAATTATCTTGTATAAATTGGTTTAAAGCGATTTATAGTGGAGGGGAGGTATTAAAGAACTTGTGTTCCTTTTTTTCACTCTACAGTGTAATCCCAGAGGTTAATTTAGGTTAAAGTGTGCTCCATTTGCAGTATCGTGCAGCAAAGGATTTTTGTTTCATACTGAATTGGACCTCAGAAGAGAACTGAGCAAGAAAGCCCATCAAATAGATGAAAACCATGCTTAGGTACCTTGTGAAAAACTACCTGTTCTTAACCCCTGACCTTCCATGTAATAGATCAAAAGGCAGAAAGTTTTGGAGGAAGCAGGTTAAGAAAGAAAACAAGAATAGTAGAGCACAGAAAAAGCAATAAATATGTGCTTACCTAGTGTTAAACTAATGCAATCACCACCTACTTATGCTAAGTTTCAGTGTTCTACTGTGTTTTTGTATTGTCTAGGATATCCAGAAATGTCATTTAACTATAATAAATTATAGGTTTGTTTTATTGTTTTTGTTTTCTTTAAGTATTCGCTAACTTTTGGAGTTTCTTATTTAGTCCCCTAAAATGATTTTTTGGTGAGTTGTCTTCTCTTCTTGATTCATAATGAATTTTACAGCAAGAAAAATATTTCAAGTTGATAAGATTTTTATTTAAAAAAAAAAAAAACAACTTTTCTGTAATTGGGATTAACTGAAAATACATATTATCTGTTCTTACTAATTCCTATGTTTATTTAGGAATGTGATTCTGTCATCTATATGAATTTAAACAGCACTCCATCAATCTGTAGAAGAAAGTGACATAAGCTAATACTGTTGCATGTACAGTAGATAAAACTAACTCTCTCTGGAGATTTCTTTTCTAGGAAAACAATTACGTACACTGAATAACCTCATACCTTCACAAGGCCTTTAGAGAAAACTTGCTGTTTGTTGGGAGGACAAGCCCTGTGAAGTCTGTTGTCATTGAATTTAGCTTGTCACTATACTGATTGAGGTGAGATTATTTTTGCTGGTCAAATATATTTATATTTTAATATCCTTCAGTGTAGTACATGGTCCTTTTTTCCCCTGCATCATTTCCATTCAGTTTATAAAAGTTAACATTATCCATTTTTGTTATGCTTGTGAATGATGGTAACAGAATAGAAATAAGCATATTTAAATATCTGTCTTAATTGAGAACAGAGAATGAGCAAACTGTTAACTTTTAACCTGAAGGCAATAGGATAACTTGCTCTCCAATTTCCTGCGTGGGTTTAATGTTTTGCATTACAATTGCAGATAATATCAAATACTAATTACCATTTGAGCAGATTTTAAGTTAATTTTCATCACACAAATATCCATATAGGTCCACTGACAGTAATAATATACTCATTTATATCAAGTGATTATTTGGATTTTTTTCTTCTCCACGTTTGTTGTCTCTGAATAATATATTTTGGAGTAGGAAAAGTGGGGGGAGGAACTTCTGGAGCAGTAGATAAAGAAGAAAAAATGCTTTAAAAATGTGATGGCAGCCTGTCCTCTCAACGTCAATCAAAGATCTGACAATTGCAGGATCCTGATTAGCAATGCTATGGGCAAAATACAGCTGTCCATTTCTGGGCTGCAGATGTTGCAGTAGGTGTTCTATTGTCAGACAGCCAGTATTTTGAATCAAGGCAATTATTTCTTATTAAAGAGAGAAAAGTTTTGTCTGTGTCATTATAACAGCAATTATCCATCTGTAACAAGCTGGCCACTTAGAGAATAACATGTTACTGAATTTCTTATTTTGTGGTCATTAGATTTTTCCTTTTTTGCTTCCAACTGATGTCAGATGTTTCTCTTGCTTCTGTGAGTTCCAGGTTCGGTTGCTGTATGCTTCAAATTCTTCAGCTCCTGAGGGTACTAAAAGAGGCACCCAGCCTTTAAGCAGACTGTTTTAGTAGAGAAGCAAGTGCTGCTGTTTTACGTTGTTGGTGGTGAACACTGAAATGACAGTGTCCGATCTGTCCACAAAGCAGCCATAGTCCACAGGACAGAGCATCGGCAAAGCAGTAATGAGGAAGTTTTCAATGAAGCTGAGGTGATCTAAAGCTCAGTGAAAAAACATTAGTCATGCATGAAATGTTTTCTGCTTGGCAACTTCAGAATCAACAGGAAATTTAGAAAGTAAGAGTGTGAAGCAAATGAACCACTTGTGCTTGTTTCCAAATAGGAACTTCGTATATCGTTAATTTAGTCTCAAGCTTCCCAGTAGCCAATCTCTAGCCATTTAGTACAGAAAAGCTTAGTGGATGTTTACTCTTTGTTGACATACTCACTCTTGCAGTTCTGAGGAAAATTCATTTGAGGTGAGTAGCCACTATCTCTAGAAGACCACATGCCTCTACTATTTGTTACTGATGTAAATATGCACTGAATGAGACTGCATTTTTCTCCTCAAAATGCAACAAAAACAGGTTCTACAAGAGAAGACACTGTACATGGTAGGATTTCAGAGGACAGCCTGAGCTCTCAGCCTCTATAGGGATCACCAACATAAAAATCAGGTACACACCAGGGCCAAGGGTCAATGCCTATTCTGATAATCAGACCCAGAGACAGTGACCATGTTCAGTGGCAAGTAGGGAAAAATAAAAAGGATGTGTATTTTTTTTTCTTTTGTGCATTGTGGAATTCTTCTCTTTCTTTCTTAGGCTAAATCCTAGTTACATTCAGCTATCCACTGAATTTCTAATGTAGGAAAAGTTTATGTAACAGATTATGTCAATAAATAACATTTTGCTTTTGTTTGTTAGTGGTATGAGATCACATTTCTTGTGTTGCTTCAGTTCTTTAATTTGATTGCTACAAGAGACAGGCAGTCATATATTCAATTAATGTGAAACAATAATAAAGTTCATTTGTGAATCAATTGATAAAACTGATTCAGTGCATGTATCCATTCTGTAATGAGATATAAGGAGAAAAACATTAGTGAAGGACAGGAACTCTGTAGTGAGTATCTGAGATTGCTCAGGCCAGCTAACCTAGGAGTGAAGAGAAGGGTAATTATTTGAATAATTATGATATCATCTGCCCTCATCTCTCACATATTCTGTTAAATTAGCTTTGTCATGACAGACAGACCATGGCCAGGACTATCCAAATTGACAAAATTGTCTACACTCTTTCCTAGAAATAACATTGTGAACTTGCACAGAGGAATTAGATGAGTTAGCTAAGTTAAGGCATGGGGACATCACAAATGTCACGAAGCACCTTGGCTTCTGCAGCTTAAAGAGTGCTTGTTAGAAAGCAATACGTATTTCCTTCCTGCCATGGTTCTCCTGTTACATTTAATGTGTCTGCTGCAGTGAGCAGTGAAATGTATTATTTTCTGAATCTAAGGTAGCACTGCCTACTGATGTGCTGCAGCACAGAGATGTCCTGCTTGGAGGCTTCTTCGGGATCTCTGCGAGGTACATTAGTGACTTATCAAGGACGACTCCATTAGGTTGCAAAGTGAGCCAATATCCTCATAGCTTGTTCATTCTTAAGTAAGAATCTATGAATGATTTATGCATTATTTGCCATGTGGGTAAAGTGTTTGCTTTCAGAAGGATGCAGTGACTAGATGTATTAGCATACTCCAGAAAGCTGCAAAACATTTTGGATGATTCATGCTAGGAATACCCTAGGGCATCATTAACGCAGGCTTTCCAGGATGCAAGTTCAAGGGCTGGTATAATAGAATTTGAAGTGAAAATTATTACTTCAGTTTTATATTACTTAACACTTTAATATGAGAAATGCTGTGGCTTTCTATGGAGAATTTAGATTTGAAAATAAGCAAACATTTGCTGCTGTGGTAAATAATAGAAATATATCTCTTTCAACTTGTGGTTCAGTACTACTGAGTAGAAGTGTGCTTATTGTGCTATACTGCAATACATTCAACCTCAAAACATACCTAAATCTGCAGCAGTGTTCAAATGACAGTGGCTTGCTTACCTGCTGCTTTCTGCTCTGCTTATAATTCTCCTTTTACAAATTTTAAGGTGGATGACTTTGCTGTCAGGAAGAACTAGGAAATAAAATTGAAGACTCCGCCTGATGCATCTTCTGTAGGACCTCCTCATTAACTTTTCAAAATCTGTGCTTTGGAGGAATCCTGGTAGGAGTTCCATAAATGATAGATGAAGTAAATAGCTGCTATCCCACAACTGCATGGAGGATGAGATTAAAAAAAAGTCATAATGTGTTTGACAATCATTTGTATTTTGAACAGTGTGTAGCAGCAAGGGTATCTGTTTTAGATAAAAACCAAGAAAATGCACAAATTGTTACTTGTTTCCTAAACCATTAGCTTTCATGAGAACGCATAACCAACATTTTGGAGTTCAGCCTCAAGCTTACATGTAGCCAACCTCTATCCATGCTGAAAGGTTCGCTCCTCATGCACTTGGCCACTCTTACATTTGAGTGAAATTAACTGGAGGCATGAGTAGCTCCAGAAGATCAAATGCTCAGTCCTTGCCAAACTGAACGAAGGACTCCTGAAAAGCAGCACAGTGGAAGTGAAATTCAAGATGCAATCCCACATATCATGGTAGCTTTTTTTTGTCTACTTTTATTTTTACAGGCTATTAACATTCTGCTGATAGATGACCATCAAAATGCCATGATTTTTTTTCAGTGCTGAATAAAGCATCAAATAATAGGAATTGGTATTACTATTTGTAAACAACATTCTATTTTTTGTTTAAACAAAGGTTTAGAGAATTATTCACTTATTAGCCTGGTGGTACACGAATTTGTACTAACAGTTCATCAGGATGATCACTGCATCTTTGTGGTGTAGTTACTTAGGCAGCTTTCAGCATATCCATGTTTCCTCTTGAGAGCAAATCATTGTCTTTGTAAGTAAATAGTACAACACAATCAAGAATAGATATTTTGGGTATTTCTAAGATGTAATAGGTTTAATTGATCCTAGTTTTGATCTTCATCTTGTCTGTCTACTTTGTCTCAAAAGTATAATCATATCTTTCTTTCCAGAAGTTTTTCTCCAATGGGATTTTTTTTTTTCATTAGAATTAATAAGATAAAAAATGGTTTAGGATTTCTGGTTGTTGTTAAAGTCTTTGTCAGTATACGTCTTAATCTCCATAGATTCTTGGGCAAAAACCAGCTGTCCTAAAATTATATTCTCTGTCATTCTGTCTATGTCTAAATAATTGTCAGTATTTCTTACTAATAGAAAATACAATATATTTAGTAAAAAATATGTACCTCATTAAGGAGACTTCATATCCCAGTAGCTGAATTGCAAAATAGGAATTATTCTCCTAATGGCTCCCAGCAGAACCAGAAACATAAAATTTTGTTGATATGATTGTATTTTGTAGTTTTACTTCTGTTATACTTATTTCTCTATAGTACTTATAATCTGTATAAGAAAAAATACTAGTAATTATGTAGCTTATTTAATAGAGGGGAAGAAGTTATGTTACAAAGAACTAAAAATAATTTGTATGATTATTTTATTAGATTGTTACCCATACAATGGGATTTTTTTTCCTCCATGACAACTAATATTGTCTTTACATTGTTCTAAATATATATTCAAACTGTTATAAAAAGCTGGAAAGAATAATGAATGCTAAGAAAAAAAATATACCTACAGAGTTTCAGTTTTCTTTAAAGAATAATGTGAGCTAGTACCAGCTTAGGTACTTGTCTGCTGGCTTATGTGGGAATAGTATACAATTTTGGATGTGAGATTATTGGGTCAAACTCTGGCTTGGGGTCTGTTCTGTGATATTCTTTTTTTTTCTCCCAGGATTTATTTATTTTTGTCAGACTCTTAACAGCCTCAGTCTATGCCTCAGGCTCTGAACATCCACTACTCAAGCTTCAGAAGCTTGACAAAAAAGTTGTTCTACTTCTTATGCCGTAATGCTGCTTGGACAGAAATCAACGGAACATGTGCCATTATGCTTCATTCCACTAAGACCTCTAGGTATGACTCCACTGCTATCTAAGATCTGTTTCCTTAAGTATAATTTTATATTCTGTCAAAAATGTAATGTGCAATGCATTGTAATAACCCCAACCACATGACAGTGGGAGACACCTCCTGGGAATTGATAGGCACACTGCTCCTGGTCTTCCAGATTTCTCTCTGGTTGTAGGTAACAAAGTGGACCAGAGAGTATAAACAGAAAACTATAGAAATGTCAGTAGAGGATTTCTGTGCCCAAAACTTACTTTTTGCATACTTTGTATGCAGGAAATGAAGTACAACTTTAGAAAAAAGCGGAGTTAAAGACTTGATCCAACCTTTATGCTTACACGGCGATGATGCCCAGAAGCTTCTTACTGGAAATGCTTGCTTGCAAAGAGCCATCTGAAAGTCAGTTCTTAGGTTACCTGTCAGAAATGAAATACTATTTTGAAAACCCAGTTTCTTTCATGGTGGCTGGAGGTGTTGTAGGGACTGTCTACTCATAGAAGAGTTTCCGTTCTGTCTGGTGTGTAGTGGCAAAATGCTAGAAAATCTTGCAGCTTTGGCCAGACTTCCATGGGTTCTGTCTGTGGCATCTTGTTCTGTATATTTTCTAGGAAATTAGAGAACTGTATGAACATCAATATAAAGAAGGGTGTCAAACTGGCCATCCAAATTCATAAAAAGAAGCAGATGTTAGTAATGTCTTAAGGAGCTCTTCACTCCCTGTCTTTCCCCCCCTTTTTTTTTTCCCTCACTACTTTCAAGACTGTGCTACTTATGTGTAAAGCTTAAGTATTCTGTAATTACTGCATGCTTGTCTGAAACAGTAGCAGTGAGCATAGATGAAAATGCCACCTTGAATCATGTTACGTGGTGCCATCCTACAGGTACAACACGCTTCAGTGTGACACAGAACAGCTCAGTGCACTCTACTGCAAGCTAAATAAGGAAACAGAAATAACCCATAATTTCATGCAATGTGCCATTGGTGGGAAAGAAATTGCAACAGAGAGATTTTTCCTACTCCTTTCTTTTTCAAGAAAGCTTTTTCATTCTCTTCCTCTTTGCATCTTTTTGTTTTAAAGGATATACCTAGTGATTTTTTTTACAGCTTTTGGTAGTAGGCTTCAGAATAAACTGAATGCGGAATGAAATTTAAAATCTTATCTATCAAGTCATGGCTACAGAGACAAAAGTACAGGCACTGCACGAGGGCATTGTCACAGGTTTGGCTGCTGATGCAAAAAATGAAATGGAACTCTTGAGTATCCAAACACCAGTGCTTCAGACGAGTTCTATGATCTTGCTATCACCATGCCAGGAATCTTCATGCTTACACATGTCTGTTTTTGCAGTTCTTGCTTGCTCAGTGGTAAGAGCATTATCAATAAGATTTTTCTGAGAATTTAACAGTTTGTCGTCTTCCTTTTAAAAGGGAGTTCTAAATTCTGGAATTCCTTGTACATAGTTCTTAATGTCAGTAAAAAGCAACTTTTTCTTAATATTTTCCCATGCACTGTTATGATGTCAGTGACTTTTCTCCTGACAATTTTTGCCGTTTACAGTACAAATTCCCTTGAACATACTTTAAAACACATTAGACAATTGTAATCTGTCACGTAACATGGATAAACATGAATAATTTTTATTTTATTGACACTGAAAATCAAATAAGGCAATGGAAAATATTCTGCCCACCCATCAATATATGCAAACTATTTTAATTATAGCACATCATCTGGTTTATTGTTGATGTTGTAGAAAAGTTTGTTTATACTTTCAGATGTAGAAGGTATATGAGATGTATATCAGTCTGGTCTAGGACTTGCAATGAGCTGTGAACGAGTCCAGATATTCACTGAAATATGTGGAGATTAGCAGAAGGAAAAAAGCTTTCCAAAGCCTGTGATCAGTTAGCATAATGTAAACTTTATATTTGCTATATGCATACATTCGATGTCATCAAATGTACAAGTATATGTCCCTTACTTGGAAGACTGGTATGGTATGGAATAGAAAACATAAAACTCGAAATCATTCAATTGCAGAATCCTATTTCTAGTAGCAGTAACTTGGTCTTAAAAAAGCCTTGGGGCCCCAGTGTGAGAGAAACAGGCATTCTATATAAGCATACATCTAAAGTGCTGAGTCCTTTTGTACTGTGACAGCTTAACTTTGGGAGTGAAAGATTACACCAGAGGTATGTGTGTTGATGGCTAGTTGGGTTGAAGGCATGACTTCATAACCATGTCTAATACATAGTCCAGGCTTATTAGTTGTGTCAAAATGATAATGTTAGGATTTGTTTTGTTTGTTCATTTGTATTTTGGAGGGTCAGTGGGGCAAGCAATTCTGGCTCAGGTTTGGAGGCATTTCTAGAAAGGAGTTGGGCACAGATGGCATTTGCCAAGGCAGAGGGACAAAGCAATGAGAGAGATACTGACATTCACTGACACTTGTTGAATGTTTATTGAGGTTGAACAGTGGATGTGAGCACAGTGAGGCAGTG